AAAAGTCCATACTTCCACAGTGAGACCTTCCCTGCTTCTCCTCCCAAAAGCACTGACACTGAGTCAGCGCTTTCCAATTCGGAAATCCTCCCTGATCTTCATAATCATTTTCAGGACCATAATAGTGCTCCTTTGCCATATTCTAATCCTATTCTCACCCTCGTCAGAAATCACCAAGCCTTTCATCCTCCATGTCGACGCCAGTGGTACGGCATCGGGGGTGACCTAATACAGCAACGAGGCAAGGAGAATATACCTGTTAGCGACCACAGCTACAGGGAACTACAGCACAATCGACAGAGAGCTACTCATCGTCCTGAACTTGCAGCACTTCAAACAATACCTGAAAAGTGCTCGGTCTACCGCCATCAACACGGACCACAACACCCTACACTTCCTGCAGCAAGCCCAATTCCACACTCAACATCTTCTACGATGGGCTTGATGTCTGCAGAAATTCAACCTGGAAATCTCTACAACAAGGGGTCTGACAACATCATAGCCGACGCCCTCTCCAGAGTCTATGAAGTAGAGGCAGCTCCACCTATCACTCTACCACATGAAGACGTAACTTCTTCCGGAACCGCAGGCTTCGGGGGAGAGTTGTGACGATAATCTCTTTGAAGAGAGATTGAGCCTGCTCTTCCCTATATCATTTACGTCATTCTACAAGTACAAGATACTATATTGAAGATACGTCCACCAGTATCGCCAGACGTTTTGCCCAGGAAGCAAAGCATACCTTGCACCACCCGACACGCCGGCTCCGCCCGTCGTCAACGAGCAAACTACCCATTCTGCCTGCTCCTGATTGGCTGGTGTATCGCCGACCGCACCTGCACCTGCACTCACGCCCTCTACCTGAGTCGACGTCTGGGCCAGCTCACGCCGTACTCCTCAGAATATCTCTGTGCTCTTTAGAAGTTGACATCTCTCTCTGGTAGACTAAGCCCTGGCTGTCGTGTACTAAGGGAGGTGGCAGCTCAAGCCAGTATTCTCAGCACCTGATTAATATTATTATTGTCTTGCACTTCATTTTGTTTTAGAGTAAATTTCACACCTATTAATTATTCATGTTTTGTTTGTTGACTTGTTTTGAATTTTACGTAAGCCAAGGGATTGTCTTTGTTCATATCTTGTTTTCTAAAGTAATTAAAGTTTCATTGTTTATATTTTGTGTTTTGTGTGTCTTCCCATTACCTTACCACAGACAAACAGGCAAGCAGTCTCTTTTTTTTTCTGTAAGTGTGACAAGGCATTGACACCTGCCATTGGAGGACTGCCGAACATCAACACTCCAACACTTTACCGTCACAATATATAATAAAGCATAATAATGACAATGTTTGTGGGTCTAAAACGAACAGCCGCCGTCTGCTAAGCTCCACCCACGTATGAGAAAAGTTTTGGCAAGTCACAAAAAGCTGAAGCATGGGGAGGGTGGAGAGTGTGGCTAACATCTTGAAGACTTTATAAGAAAACTTGAAGAGGATCCAAACAATGCCCAAGTGATATCTGCCCAAGAACGCTGGAGGAAGACTTTGTTTCAAAGTTTATGACGACAACATTTTTATTGAAACAAGCCAAATTATGTTTAAAACATACTATAGAAGCATAAGAACATAAGTGATATGGTCATTGTATGCAGCCCGGTTTATTCATTTCATACTTCATACGAAATTCCGAGTTTTAACCTACTCAGAAACTCACTAATCCAAGCCAGCCTCACAAGATCCCAGCCGTTGTACAGATAACCTTTTTCTTGTGAGTCTATCATTCTCTCAGCACGTTCTAATTTATACGAAGAGAACCATACACAAGAATGGACCATATCGTTGAGAGGACGGGTTGTTGTTTACGAGAAATGGCCACGTGTGACAGAAAATGGTTTTCCGTGATCGATGTATGTCTAAAATAGTTTTTTTTGGGAACTATTTATGACTAAAATACGGTTTTATGTCAACAATGTATGACTGAATTAGGGGTTTTCTGTGAACAATGTTTGGCTGAAATAGTTTTTTGGGGAACAATGTATGACTATTTTAGTCATTGATCACGGAAAACACTATTTCAGAGTTTTCCATGAACAATGTATGACTGAAATAGGGTTTTCCATGAACAATGTATGACTGAAATAGGGTTTTCCATGAACAATGTATGACTAAGGGTTTTCCATGAATAATGTATGACTGAAATAAGGTTTTTTGTGAACGATGTATGACTGAAATATGGTTTTGGGGGAGCTATTTATGACTGAAATAGGGTTTTCCATGAACAAAGTTTGACTGAAATAGTATTTTCCGGAAACAACTTTTGACTGAAATAGGGTTTTCCATGAACAAAGTTTGACTGAAATAGTATTTTCCGGAAACAACTTTTGACTGAAATAGTATTTTCCGGAAACAACTTTTGACTGAAATAGGGTTTTCCGGGAACAACGTATGACGGAAATAGTTTTTTTTTTGTAAACATGAATGACTGACATAGGGTTTTCCGGAAAGAATGTATGACTGAAATAGGGTATTCCGTGAACAATGACAAGGCTGTCAAACTTTGTCAAGTAGATGAAAATTCAATGCTCTCTATAGTCAGAGCGATACTGTTGGATATTAAAAGTAGAAGAACATTGGTCATGTTGCAGAGCATTGTAGTGAGAACTGTAGAAAATTCCCAGACCTAATACTGGAGATACGTTTAATAAACGTCTCGTCGACGCAGGGCCCTCGTAGATGGGAGACTGTTCCTCAGTTGTAAGTTTTACGTTAATATTTAGCTGCGTTAATATATAGGATTTCCTACAATAACTTATTCTCCATTGTTGCTGTATCTGTAAAACAGTTCTTGGTGAAGGATGTCTCTGGCTATGGGCTCGTTGTGTATCATAGTGTGTTTATCCGGTGTCTGGGGCAGTCTCTCTCTCCTCCCACCATCCTATCCCACTCTTCTTCCTCCCTCCTCTCACCATACCCTACTATTCTTCCCTCCTCTCACCATACCCTACTATTCTTCCCTCCTCTCACCATACCCTACTATTCTTCCCTCCTCTCACCATACCCTACTATTCTTCCCTCCTCTCACCATACCCTACTATTCTTCCCTCCTCTCACCATACCCTACTATTCTTCCCTCCTCTCACCATACCCTACTATTCTTCCCTCCTCTCACCATACCCTACTATTCTTCCCTCCTCTCACCATACCCTACTATTCCTCCCTCCTCTCACCATACCCTACTATTCCTCCCTCCTCTCACCATATTCTTCCCTCCTCTCACCATACCCTACTATTCTTCCCTCCTCTCACCATACCCTACTATTCCTCCCTCCTCTCACCATACCCTACTATTCTTCCCTCCTCTCACCATACCCTACTATTCTTCCCTCCTCTTTCATTTACCCATTATCCTTCTACCCCCCTTTCATGACCCCGTCTTCCATTCTCTCTCCCTCTTCCCTCCCATCTACCTATCATTCCCTTCTGTCCTATATTCTTTACCCATTTTTTTTAACTTTTCCTTGTCTGGTCTCCAACGTCCAACCGAAACAGACAGACCTTTTCTATTTGCAGGGGGAATGGTCTGGGGTAAAGGACGGACATGGGCTGGTCATACGACTGACAAGTTAAAAGCTCTAAAAAATATTAGAAATTATAAGCAAACCAGAGCCATTTTTAAGGAGTATTTAATGTATCTTGGCTCCATGAAAGAGGAAAGATGTTCCAAGATGAATACATGAAAGATATTTCAAGCTACATAAAATATGGCGTGTGCTTACCGTGGAGTTTAACACTGGCAGTCCGACCACTCTTGCATTCAGTGTCGTCCCTACCCTGGTGCGGGGTAGACGTATAGGCCTACCCTCCACATGGATTTACTACTAAATGGGTACAGGCCTTTAAGGAGTCCACAACCTAACAGTGATATATACCATCTAGCTACTGGAGGCTTTCACCAAGGTTCCAAAGTGGTGAGCAGTGCGATTTGACCAGATATCTGGACAAGCAATGACAGTTTCTGAATTGGCGCCTTGGGCAGTGGGGACATGGCTGCCTCCCTTTACCTCACGCCCAGTCGGACGCCTAAGGAGGTACCCGGGCGCTGGAATTTTAGCCCCTATTGCCCCGTTCCCTAAAGCTGTATTTTTCCTGTGTGGCCTGGACACAGTGGCACGAACGGACCACTCACATACTGCTGTACTGATGCCTCAGTGTTTCTAGTGATACTGGTGGTTCCAGTGCAGTGTTACATACAGTGTAGCATACTATTAAGCGTGTGTGAATAAAGTAGTTTTCAACGTGGCACTCTCATAGCAACTGCCACTCCAGATGAAACCACACTACCAGTGCGGTACCCACAGCAGCATTGCCAGCTGAACGTGTATACACCTACGTTTGCTTGTATGATGTCTGAACTATTCATCTTGTCTACTAGGTCTACTATGATTAGTAGCCGCTGTTGTTCTGGGTCTGGGCCATAGCCTGAAGTGCTACTCTGTGGTAGAAGCTGACGTCTCTTCTCACTTCATGTTGTGACTCTGGCAACTATGGCCACTTCCCTCCCGCCTTCTGGGGACACTCACAGCGACCCTTCCCAAAATGCTTCAGACGCATTTGTGTCCACTCCGGCCACCACCCCGCATGACTTACAGTATGGCCAGGTACTCCACCCCACTACAGCCGTGTATGAGGAGGACACCAGCTCAAGTGATGAAGCAGCCTCGGATGGTAGTTATACTGTACACAAGGGCCAGAATACCTTATGAATTGAGAAACAGTTCAGGAAAGCCAACAGTTCTGTCAAGACGACCAATGTCAACCCCACAAAAGGGGTGGGTACCACGACCTACTCTAGCGCCCCGTAATAAATATGTCAGGCTGGCATTTCCATCTGAAGTTACCAGTTACGGGAGATACTCTTGGATGAAACGTGACCTCCCTCGTGCTTTTGTTGACCCCATTGACCTTATAATCCCCGGACACGCCTCACCCTTCATCTATGTCGCCATGTCCGAGGAAAGTGCCATCTTGGCTCTACTCCAAGGTCAAGTAGGTGGCATCTCATTCAGTAAAGCAGACTCTCCTGCGAGGTCCAGGAGATACAAATAGTACCTTGTCACATCCTACCCTCGTGACCTTGACATCGCCCATGCAAAAGAATTACCAGGTGTGTACAGTGCAAGACGCATCAAGTCTGGGGGCAGGCCACTAAACAGGATTGTCATCGTCTGGGAAAATGAGACGCCGCCCCCCAGTCATCACACGTTCCTAGGCCCCTACCGACCAGCCTGTCCCATAACACCCTGGGTGTCCTCAGCTGTCATGTGTTTTAATTGTCAACACTTTGGTCACATAGCCAAACACTGTCAATCTTCAGTGACCTGTGTCTTCTGTGCAGACAATCATCTCACTAAAGAATGCCCCAATAAAGACCACGCCCTTGGGACCTAAGAGACCACATCCTCAACCGTCAAGCACAAGTTTTCCAGGTGCTTGCGGGAGGGTGTGACCGCCTGGCACAAGGATTGTGACAAGCGGTCTCCCCTGCACAGCACAGTGGGGCAACACCCCACCACCCCAGTTAACCCCGCCACCCGGGATGACCCCACCACTACACTAACCCGCCCCTCCACCCGGGATGACCCCACCACCGTTCCTGTCACCACCAGCCTGGCAACTTTCCCTTGCCTACCTGGGAAGCCTGACGCCAGCCTGCAGAGAGAGGTGTTAGAACTTCCAGCTCGCAATAGTAATTATCGTCAATAAGCTCCAAGAAACACGAAGATTGAAAATGGTCTCAACAGCATTTATGCTAAGATCGACATGGACACTCTAAGACAGTGTTCAAGCGATCCTCCCGACTTTCCGAGGAGTGAAGTGAACGTCCAAGTCTCTAGTGAAATGCCTTCCAGTGATATAAGTTTTGACACGTCTCAAGCAAGTATTGACCCCCCCTCCCTCCAGTGTTGTAAGTATCGTAGTGGCAAGTGAAACATATGAAAACCCGTGTGTCTTAACTGTAATTAGCAAATGCGCTCACGAACTCATTCCAAACAATACCGCTTGTGTCCCTATGAATCCTGATGAACATGAAATGATTGTACAAGCTAGGAAAGGTACAGGCAACCAGCTGACCTTGAAACAAATGAAAGAACTCTTTGCCATTGATGACTGTGAACAATTGTCATTTGTACGCAACAGTCTACAATTTGTGAACCTTGTAAACACTTCTCTTCGTCAGGTTTATGAACACCATTACCCACGACCAACTCTTAAATTTCTCACGTGGAAGAGGCGTGCGAAGGAGGCTGTTTGATCTAATGATGTACGCTGGTGCCAACAACATTGATGTACTGTGCCTGCAGGAACCATACACTGCAAACACAAAAAATATAACGCCACCCATACTCTCAGGTTGTGTAGCTTTCTCAAATGTTGGTTCACATGATGTCGGTATCATGACATATGTTAAAATTAACTTAGTGTGTAAATATGTTAAAAACCACAAAAGTGACAACTCATGTTATCAGCATATTCAGATTGCTACAGCGACCGGGTTTATTAACTTAGTTAATGTATATGTAGGTGCGATCAAATGGTGGAAGCTTCTCTTCCAAATATCACCAGCAGCTCTCAAACCATTGTCATGGGTGATTTTAATACTAGACACACTAGCCTGGGTGACACCAAAACAAACAGGAATGGCAGAGTCTTTGTAAAATACTTAAGAGATAATAACATGTCCGTATTCAACTTTGACTCCTCTAACGTCACACACCTCATGGGTGGCAGGCTTGATTATGTCATTGGTCACGGTCTCATCGTTAGTGCTGTCGGAGGATCAATTGTTCACGAATTAGTTAGTGATCACTTTGCCATATTCAGTTCATACACAGTCAGTAATGTCAAACCCCTAAGCTTTGAAAAACAAAAAATTAATATCCCTAAAAATTTACACATGCACTTCAAATTCCACATTTCTGAATGGTTTAATACTTACTGCTTTACTACCGTCAATGCATTATATGAGGACCTGGTCACTGAAATAACCGCTTTTTATGACAATGTTGTAAAATCCACAAGACCCAAAACAGTGAGGAAGGGACAGAGGTGGTTCACTGACTCACGCCTTAAACCCCTGCATGACAGAGTTCTATTCCAAGCTGAGCAGTATATAACACATAAAACAGCTGACACCCTCAACATATTTCTTAAGGTCAGCCGAGAGTTTAGAGAGCTAAAGAAACAGGTGTATAACCAGCACTGGGACCAGTTTCTGCAAGGCATCAATCATGCAACATCCTCATCCCAAATGTGGAATAAAATTAAAAAGATTTCTCGTCCTAGCAGTCGTCAACTTGATCACCATTCACCTGTAGACTATGCCGACATGCTGCTTCAGCAATATGCAAGCACTGCCAGTATAAGCAGCCTGCCCCTAGATTTACAACACCATCTGGCTAGTACCAAAATAAATAGTAACTTCAATATTGAAATTGCCTGTAGTGAAGTAGGGCCTCATGATAACAATGGCATAACCCCCTTTGAAATTAAAAATGCATTCAAGAAAGGTAAGGCTACCTCTCCTGGAGAGGATGGCATCACATACAATACAATGAGAGTACTTGCTAAGCTGCCAAATAACCCTCTGCTAGAATTGTTTAATCAAAGTCTAAGACAGGGTGTCTTACCTGACCGCTGGACACAGGGACTCATAATACCCATACCCAAGCCTAATTCATAAAATTCAGACCCATTTCTCTGACGTCGTGCATGTGTAAAGTTCTTGACAGGATTATCCTCGACAGGGGGGTCGAGGATAATCACGAGGCCCCCTCTAGCACGAGCTAGAGCACGAGATAAGCACGAGGCCCCCTCTACGGGGGCCTCGTAGCCTGGTGGATAGCACGCAGGACTCGTAATTCTGTGGCGCAGGTTCGATTCCCGCACGAGGCAGAAACAAATGGGCAAAGTTTCTTTCACCCTGAATGCCCCTGTTACCTAGCAGTAAATAGGTACCTGGGAGTTAGTCAGCTGTCACAGGCTGCTTCCTGGGGGTGAAGGCCTGGTCGAGGACCGGGCCGTGGGGACACTAAAGCCCCGAAATCATCTCAAGATAACCTCAAGATAGAGGAGAGAGACTAATGCTTCAAGTCAAGCCCCACCTTGTTCCTAACCTGTATGGTTTCCTTCCTGGAAGAAGCACACAAACTTGCTTTGCTGAATATTTTATCAGAGAAGGACCAAGCTCTCAGGCGGCATTTATTGATCTCCAAACTGCTTTTGATACAGCAGAGAAATAATCTCAGAACAACTAGCCTCTTTTGGAGTTAAGGGAAGACTGTTGACATGGCTCAGGGGTTACCTGAGTAACAGAACCGCTTCAGTTCTTTTTAAGGGGATCTAAAGTAAACTCTGTGCATCCTTTGAGTTGGGTACACCTCAGGGTGGAGTGCTAAGTCCCACACTGTTCAATGTTCTGATGCACAAATTAACAATTGATATTCCCACACTACCTGACGAAGCCGTCATCTGTTACGTCGATGACATATGCATTGTTGCAAATACCCAAACTAGACTGCAAGCTCTACTGGATTCACTCGCTGCTAAAAGCATTGAATGTGGTCTTGTTATCTCTATAACTAAATCCAGAGTTCTCCATCACCAAGAGAAAACTCATGTTCCTATAACTTTCAAGGTCACAAACCAGAACATTGAAACGTGTATTCAGCACAAATACCTTGGAGTTGGTATTAACAGTGACATTGTAAACGATCTACACCGTAGGTTAAAAGAAAGACTAAAACCATTGAAAACACTTACTGGTAAGAATATTGGTATCAATATAAAATATGCTAGATTATTCTATATGATGTTTGTTAGATCTCTCGTTGATTATAATGTTTTGCATTTAATTAATTTCCCCTCCACTGTGTTGGACAAACTTGAAGTAGTACAGAATGAAGCCATGAGGACAATTGTGCATCTTGTGCTTCTTGGTGCCCCAAGATGCACAAGAATCATCAACATGAGGGAAGAATTGTAACTTCCAACCATACTAGAGAGAATCATGCAAGTAAACACTACCTTTTGCCTTAAAGTCATGAGAGAGATTTGGCTTAAAATCATGAGAGTAGTCATGAAAGACCCTACATCTCCTGCATTGCTCACAGACAAATTATTTAGTGCCGTTAACACCCTATTGACTGGTGCCGACATACCAAGTCACTCCTTTTATGATAAATGGCTGAGCAACAATGGCTACAATCTAATTAAACTCAACATTCCTTTTAAGTGCAATCTTGAGTTGAGTTTAATGAGATTGTTGAGAATGGGGTGGGGCGGGTTAGTGTAGTGGTGGGGTCATCCCGGATGGTGGGGTTGACTGGGGTGGTGGAGGGTTGCCCCACTGTGCTGTGCGGGGGAGGCCGCTTGTCACAGTCCGTGTGCCAGGCGGTCACACCCTCCCGCATGCACCTGGAAAACGGATGTCTGACATCAGGTACCTGTGTAAAAAATGTCGTCAACATTTAGTATATGGCCCGTTTCAAGTACATGTCGACTAAGACCTTTTGTTCGATGGTACCCATGTAGCAGTTCGCAAACAAGACACCTAGGGGAGAACCCATGGCGACCCCATCTACTTGCTTATACATGTGCCCATCCGGGCTCAAGAAGGGTGCCTCTTTAGTACAAGCTTCGAGTAGTTTCCTTAAAATGTTTTCTAGTATGTCCAGAGGAGTACAGGCCAGATCACAATACACTCTGTCCGCTATCATCCCGATTGTTTCATCCACAGGTACGTTGGTAAACAGTAATTTTATGTCCGACGAGGCTCTTATCCCTGTGGCCCGTGTTCCTCGCAGTAAGTCAACAAATTCCTTTGGAGACTTTAGGCTGAAGGTGCAAGGGACATAAGGAGTCAGCAAGCCGTTGAGTCGCTTCGCCAGTCTGTTCGTGGATGTGGGTATCTGGCTAATGATTGGCCGAAGTGGGTTTCCAGGCTTATGTGTCTTGACATTTCCATGCGCGTATCCAGGCTTAAATTC